CGGGTCGGGTTGTTTCATATATGGTAAACAAATTGTGATGAGTTATATTGTTTATTAGCCAGTTAAATAATTAATTAACCATGTTACAATTTTGATTAGTCGACTACATTTATGATTAGACATTTTAAGATATTGTTGGCATCACTATATAGTTTTACTTATCCGGTTTCAGAACATCATTGCATATCATGGCATATATATTTCACCTAATGTAACTAACCATTAATTCAGAAACTGTAAAGTTACATGTCATTGAAAGTCCCAGTAGAGGCAAGTCATTTGACTGCGGTATCAACAGTGCGGATTTGCGGGTCGGGATTGGTAAAACAACAAGTTCATGCGATGCTTCAAAGTAAGCCATTATGCAAATATCACTTGACGATTCGGTTGAAGATGAATCAGCACTGTCATCTGATGAAAGCATATTTATGTTGCTTGTGATCTCAAGTCCCCGGATGTCAATAAGCACTTGGTCTGACGAAAGTGGAGTTGTGTTCTCGGCCACTACAACAACAGTTTATCCAATATACACTACCTAGTCTGCCCCAATTATCTCTCTCACCACATAGGTGTGTTCTTCGGAAAGATAACATTCGGCTAGGAGTCTATTTCAATAAAACATAACATCACTTACGCCTCCATAAGTGTTGCTTCCATTTGTTGCATGTATGTGTTAAGAATGTTCATAACAACATCTCCAAACTGTTGGTCTCTCTGGGTGTTGGCAACTTGAGTGAGTTGTATACCATTTGATCCCGTTATCTGTTGCTCCTAAAAAAATTGTGAAATGGTTAGCTTCTATGTATATAATTTAGAGTTTAATGCTCTTTGGTTTAGTTTTGTTATATTATTGTTTAGTAGATAACATATATTAAAAAGGATATAACTTTTCGTCTTCAACTAAAAAAATGTCTAGCAGATATGTAATCAACTTACTACTTTCGAGTTCATCTATTACATTGGCTTGTTCGGTGATTCCATTGCCTCCATTTATAACCACATCCATAGCATCATCACCGTCTAGGTCAATGACCAGATTCTCGGATGTACGCTCGGTAGCTACCATCACTGGCCCCACTTGAGCAAGCACCTGGTTAAGGGGATTGGAGTATAGCATCTCTAAATGAACCATGTGCAACATTAGCATCTCAGCCTAAGGAAATATCTCCCCTAGCGCACGTTGAACTCCAACTATTCTCCTTCTGATTATCAGCTCTGTAGGAAGTGGAAAAAATTATAAATCCGGAAAGTATTTATTACTCTAGCTTGTGTAAAATAAATTTTCACCGTGGTACTGAGCACTGGCATGGACACTCTCCTCCGCTGCTGATGTTTCATACAAATATGTAGTCCTACCAACAGTGAATAGGTCAATGCTACCGAAGTTGTTCCCTCCAACAAGTACCTTCGTTTGACGTTTCCCATTAAAGACTCATAGCTCTCATCGCCGCGGAGATTTGCACCGTAACCTAGGTTTGAATTGTCACTTCGAAATTTCTGCCTACCGTATGGCGCCATAACCCAGTTTTCCTCAGTAGTCGGACTAAGATCCCCATTGCCACTAGATTCCAAAATACATGAAGCTTAGGATCTTAAAAAAATCGGAGTTTATAGAAAATGTGTTGTTCATAGTACTTTGAGTTCTTTAACAAACTAGACTTTACTGTCGTTTAAATAGTAGTTTATGCAGGAGCAAAAAAATCTGGGTTTTAATACAACAATAATCATAAATACGAAGAGTAAAGGCAACGACTAACCTTATACGAGGCGGTTGTGGATCTTCAATATATTTTTTTTGTTGGATGTAAAAGAAGATGTAYTATTGATAATAAATGTGAAGAAGATTTTGTTTGGCTATTTCTGGAGAGCACTTACTCACCGGATATCTGTTTATATAGATGACAAACTGTATGTTAGTGTAGATATACATCGATTATATATAACTCTATATATTACTCTTTTATTTCGAGGTTTAGCGCATTAAATGCAGTTGCTTGACCTAATTTTATGTGGCTTGCAATACTCCAAAAGCCACCTATGGTAAACTCTTGCCTACGAAATATTATGGTGTAGGTTAAAAAATTTACACGCTTCCCCAATTTTCAAAATAATCTAAGATGAAGGCTATAACAGTCATTTTACACATAAAAGTATGTGGTTGACTTTAGTTTTTGGAATCTCATTTTCATTCTCTTAATTATACAACAATCTGTTGTTTACTAGCTAGTTATCTCTAAATATAAACTAGAGTATTTGCAGTGGATAGAACATATTATTGGGTATTTGGTAAACTAACAAAGAGAAAGTCTGACACTATTTATATATTTTTAGGACATTTTTACCCCTAAATGCGTCTCTCGACTCTCTATATGTCAGAAACATCGACAAATCTGGTAAAAGCTGCGATGAATCCAGATAATAGAGTCAGTATCCGGATAATAGAGTCAATATCCGGATAATAGAACATATTCAAAGAGTAATCTTAATTATTAGGCGGATACAAATTTAAAATAATCGGACAATCCATAGTAAGTTGGCTGTATTTTTTAACATATTACCAAAAAAAAAATCAGTAGCCGGATAAAATATAAGTACAATAAATAAACTTTATTAGAAAGCTGGATAATATTATTATTATACACAATATCGAATAGTATAATATCTTTAAAGAGTAATCTCAAT